TTGAAGGAATTGTTCCAAGAGCTTTAATCTATAATTTGGGGGTGATAATGTGTTGCTAGATACCGCTTATCACTTGTAGTATTTAATCGATACTATGGCCAATTTTATAGATGCCTAGAATAGGGTCACACACATAGAACATATGAAAGTGTAGAATATTTAAGTGGAGTAATGTTGCACTTTATTTATATGTTGTGTATATTATATTGTGTGACAATGTGATTAGATACACAAACACGTATATAAATAAATATTTATATTTGGACATTTTAATTATGTGATAATTAAGTTTGTCAAATATATTTAATAATAATAAAGTATATATATTCGGATATATATATGTGAATAATAAATTGTTTATTATTTTATTTTATTTTATTATTATTAAGGCACGAAATATATATATTTGTATATATATTTAATATTTGGACATTTTAGTTATATGATAATTAAGTTTGTCAAATATTATTTAAGGAACAAAATATAACATAATTATTAAATATATATATATATATATATATGTGCGTAAATATATATATGTATATATTATATATATATGTTCGGCGTAGATATATATATATATATATATATATGTTTCGTATATATGTATATATATATATATATATAATAAATGTTGTATTATTTATTTTGTGTTAATTATATGATAATTAAAGTTGACAAAATAAATTGGAAGCTTCCTTAAAGTGCCATTTGAAATTTCCTAAGTAGAATAGGAATGAGATTTGATTTCCCCCCTAAACTCTAAAAGGTACATTCCTATTAGGAATAGGAGTGGGGATTATACTTCTTATTGGGGATTATACTTCTTATAAATAGGAGATCATCCCACCCCTTTTGAATACTAAGAATTTCGGCCCTAGCATTCTTTTAAGAGACAAAATATTGTTTTGTTCTCTTAATACTTTACACCAAATATTTTATATTTTAGAAATATTCTAGAGTAAAATTACTAGCATAATTTTCTCTAGAACACTCTTCGTTGTTCGTGTGTCTCAACTGGAGGTCATATACTTTTGTGGCTAGCTCTTGGATCAATCCATCAACCTACACATATCGTTGCTTGCTCGCCAAGAAAGGTATATTTCTAAACAATAACTTATAATAATCATAAGAGGTCTTGGGTGGATCTACGTTTGGACCCAAAAAATTTTATATTTCCGCTGCCCTATCCAAGCGTAGAACCCAACAGTGGTATCGGAGCCGACTTATGAGAATTATAAGTTTTGTAGATCTAATTGCCGTTAGGGTTTTTGATAATTGATAAAATAAAATACATGTGTATATATTTTCGAAAATTATCCAAAATTCATGAAAGTGCCAAAATATAATTCTGGACTTTATAAAATTCGAAAATATGATTTTTGAATTAAATTTTGGATTTATTTTATTTTTGGGGTTAATCGGTTAAAAAATGTTTTAACCAATTAAAATATTTCTAAAATTTGAAAATTAAATTTTATTAAATCTGAGACATTCAAATATTATTTAAAGACCTATGGATATTTAAAACTAATTTTCGGAATTGATTTCCTAATTTATAAAGTATTGTTTGGTTTGTAGTTAATATTATTAATTACAAGATAAATACAAAATAAATTATGGAAAAATAATTTTAATCATTCTGAGACTTTAAAATATGATTTTAGGAGCTCTGGAAATTTAAAATTAATTTTATGAATTTATTTTCTAATTTATAAGGTATTGTTTGATTTGTAGTTAATTTGATTAATTACAAGATAAATACAAAATAAATTATAAAAAATTAATTTTAATACTTCTGGAATGTTAAAATATGATTTTAAGTACTCTGGAAAATTAAAATAAATTTTTGGTTTTGATTTTCTATTTTTCCCGATTTAAATAATCTTATTCGGTAATAATATAGATTAAACCGAAAAGGACAATTAAAATTCGGGATTATAATTTTATGAACTTGAGAATATGATTTTCATAGTTTTTAAAAGTTTTTAGAATTAAATTCGTAATTTGAGTATTTAATTATTAATTTTTGGGAATAACAGTTTTGGTAATTCGGTATTTAATTCCCGAAAAATTAAATAATTAATCTTAAATTAAGGAAATTTAATATTTGGTAATAATATCATAATATTCTGACAATAATGATTTTTGGAACAATTATGGTACACGAAAAATAATTTTGGAAATTGTTTGATGGATTGCCAAATAATAAATAGAATGTACTGAAAATAAAGTTGAGTAAAATCTAGAAAAGATTTTTTTCAGATTTTACATGAGTCAAAAACTTTATTTTTGGAAAATATTGATTTTTGGAATATTTAGAATATTCTAAATTAATTTTGGAAATTAATTTAACTCCTTTTGGAAACAAATTCCAAAATATCGAAAATAAAATTTATTTAATTCTGGAAATTTTATTTTCAGAACAACATGGACCCAAAGTGAATATTTTTGGAAAATATTAATTTTTGGAAACAAGGAATTAATTTTTGGAAAATTGGAGTCCGATTTTGTGTATTTAAGTATAGAATTTCGAAAATAAATTTTATAAATTCTGGAAATTTTATTTTCAGACTTATAAAATCAGAATACACATTCTGGAATTTATTTATTAATTTTCAAAAGGTATAAGTATTTATTTCGAATTAAAATCCCAATTTCAAAATTAATACCTATATTTACGGCAATTAACTATTTTAAAATTCAGGAAAATTCAAAATTAAATTTTGGATATTCTGGAGTTTTAAAATAAATTTAAATAAAATTATTTGATAATTTTTAGGCTTGTAGTTTATTTTTCATAGAATAAACTAGGTCTGGGGCGAGCGCGGCTTGCCCGGTGTATGGTTTTTATGCATGTGATGTATGAATGTATGCATGGTGCATGGTTGTGGCGTAGAATGTTTGGTTTTTAAATACAGTCTGCGTGTCGTGCCTCATCTCTCAATTCTGGTTGTAAATCTCTTCTTAAACCTCATACCCCTTGCATAAAAAGCCAGGATTCTTTTCTCTCGATTAAACAAAGAAGTCCATGAAGAAGCAAGGAAGATGAAGGAGCCAAGAAGAAGAGGATCTTAGTAAGAAGGGCTGACCTTGAAGACTAAAGCACTCTTAAAGAAAGAAGGTGAAGCTGGAGATGGAGATCTCAAGTGAAGGCTTTATCGTTAGTTCTTTAGGAGGCCACAACCATGTCACGTTTTATTCATTGTACATGTTTGTATATATGTTTGTATGATATTCGCTAGTGTATGTGCGCGGCACATGCCATAGGTGAAATCACGCTTAAAATCCCTCATAATATTAAGTTTGTGCCTTCCGACGCCGACTCACTCGTCGATACCAGTTTCGACCAGTCAACGGACACGCCAAAGCGGGATGCCTGGTTTACATTAGTATGACGCGAAATCCGTAACAATGGATACTGAGTACGCCCCGGGTTGAACTTAACTAAGTTAAGGTAAAAAGATGAATAACTTAGAGGCACATGGTTAGGTTAATAAATAAAATCAAATTCATCTAACCTAGAGTTGTAAAATGTTACAATTGGAAAAAGTTCCTACCTGAAATAGTTTAACTATAGGGCAAGATGCAAAGCACAACTATAGTTAGATGAAATAAGGATCTAGGCCCAATATAGGATTTTATTTAGAACAACCTAACAAACCAAGGATTGTAATTGGATTACAATTGGAAATAAGTTCCTACCTAATTAGTTTAACTGTAGGGCAAGATGCAAAGCACAACTATAGTTAAATGTAATATGGACCTTGGCCCACTAAGATATCTCTTAGGAGAACTCTCGAATCAACAGGTTACGTACTTGAGGGTAGTTGATTTGTTAAAATAGTGGGAGAGTTATTAGTTAAAGACCTAGCTAATTACTTAGATTCTTGATATTAACTATCTTGCAAATTATATGTAGATGTCTAATAACAACCATAACCTCACTCTTTGCTCGATCCTCGACAAAGATAAGTTGATCGGCCCTAACTTCTTAGACTGGCAAAGAAACCTCGTTATCATTCTCCGACTCGAGAAGAAAGAATACGTGCTCGAACGAGCCATCCCACCTGTCCCGGCCGCCAATGCTTCTAGAGCTATCAAAGATACTTATGAGAAGCATGTTGATGATGACAATGAGGTGGCATGTCTCATGTTGGCTACAATGACTTCTGACCTTCAGAAACATCACGAGAGTATGAAGGCGTACGATATGATCCTACACCTAAGACAGCTCTACCAAGGACAAGCTAGGCATGAGAGATTCCAAATCTCCAAAGCTCTCTTTAGTTGCAAGTTGTCAGTTGGAAACCCCGTTGGTCCGCATGTTCTCAAGATCATTGGCTACGTCCAAACTCTTGAGAAATTGGGTTTCGAACTAAGGACTGAACTTGCAACTGATCTGATTCTGCAATCGTTGCCAGAATTGTACAAGCAGTTTGTGGTTAATTACGAGATGCATGAACTCGATAAACCACTGCCAGAACTTTTGAAGATGCTGCAAACTGCCGAAGAGAGCTTGATGAAAGGAAAGGGGAATTCCGTCCTTCTGGTTCAAGGAGAAAAAGGCAAGAAAAAGTTCAAAAAGGCAAAGAAGAATGGGCCTAAAGGCAAGGGTAACACCAAGCCAAAGTCCAATTCTTCCAAGCTCAAGCCTAAGTGGAGTGGCCAAAGATTCCATTTGTCATCACTGTGGTGAAGTTGGCCACTGGAGGAGGAATTGCAAGCAGTATTTGGCAACCAAGAAAAAGGGTGAAGCTTCTGCTTCAGGTACAATTGCTGTAAAGACTTAAACTAATCTACAATCTCTTCAAAAGTATTCGATACTTATAGCATTGCAAACCGTTGCAGGAACTGAAGAGAAGTAGGAGTGTTGATCTTGAAGATGCAAGGGTTGCAGCTTTGTGGCGCATTAGTTTAAGTTTTAGTATTTGATCAATTTTCAATTTTGAATTGATGTTTACTTATTGTTTTAAGTATTATTGGTTATTTCAATAAAGGACAAATTGTTGCTCCATTTATAGAAGTATTTCATATGATCAAATATTTTGCCTCACAAGCATATCGCAATACAACAACTATACCAAGGCTACAAAGTACAAATGTTAATCAGTTAATAAGTTTATCACAAAATTATGAATGAAGTGATAACCACTTAGAGATATAAGGATATCTTTATAGCCAAGTACCCTTTCTATTTAAATTTTTGAAAATTAAACTTGCCATTAGCGTTAATAAAGCACACTTAATAAAGATCAAGTGATATTAATGCCAAAGTTACATAATTGGAAAGGCAAAAGTGATACGATCATGAAATTAACGTTCCCTCAAGCGTTATCTAGATAACGTGACTAAAATAGTTAGTCTGATAAAGAGGATTATGTAACCTTGCCAAATACTACTGAACCTTAACCACTAAAATGATCATTGTAGACTCTGAAAGGAAAGAGCACTTGGAAACTGTTCCAAAACGATTCCTTCCTTAAATAACAAGTAATTAAAGTAAGTCTCATATGAATGAAGACACTTTAAAACACTTGTTATGGACGAGTCTATCAAGGATAAAAGGAGGGTTTCAATAATCTATAACCAGTTATAGCACTTATATGTCTAGGGTAAAAGTCTTATTGAAGACTAGTGGGAGCATAATAAGTATGTTGCATATCATTGACAAAATAAATTAAAACTTATCAGTCATGAATGCAAATAGTAGTTATGTGCTCAAGTATGAAGAATCCATATAGATGGATCAAAGAACTAGGAATAATAGGAATAATCTAAGACCAGTACATATATGGAAGTTTTTGAAACTTGCATGAATCTCAAGGTAAAGCCTTTTTGAGACTCAATCTATAAAAGAACTGCATGGAAATCGTTCCATGGATTACCATGAGATAAGGACTTGATTCATTCTAAAAGGATATATTTTATATATGTCTAAGCTGAGCTAAGAGTAGTATAAAAGTTGAATTTTAATTCTTAAGAAGAGACAAAAGAGTATGGTTTTCTAAAATGGCTTAAGTGTGAATGTTACACACAAAATAGCTCGTTTAGAACAACCATAGGGTAGGTTGAAATTAACAAAACATATATTGACAAGTATTGACATGGTGTCATACGCAAGATAAATTTGCAACTTTGGAAGTAGCAAAGAGGAAGATATTTTGGTTTTGTAGCTTCTCACGAATGGATAGCGTTGCTCCCAGCGTTAGAAACCAATATCTCGTTGTACTGACAACGATAGGGTTACTACAGGAGCTAAAGAAGCTACACCTAGAAACCAAGACGTCATTAGATCTCACCACATTATACGAACAGTCGTAAAATGAAAGTATCAAAATTTGCAAGATAGAAAAGGAAAAACAATCTCTTAACCTATTGACCTAGGCTTTGGGAAAACCTATACACGAGGGTCACACTTCGTGTATGAGGCATACATGGAAACCATAATTGGCCTTAGTGCTAGTGGGAGATTGTTGAATATAAGTGAGCCCTAGAGGCCAACTTATGATTCCATATCTATATTATATCAAGAACAATAGGCCCTAAAGATTGTTTAAGTTGTCTCATGTGATTTAAACATAGCTTTAGTCCATAGAGTAGGCGCTCTAGTAACATAGATGAGAACCACGACGTTCTAATTATGAGGCTGTTACAAAGATAGAGGCTACGTCTAAAATATCCTTAGTCGAATATTATGACAATATGGACATCATAATATATCAAGACTAATACGTATGAGATGAGATAGCTGCGTCTCATAGGCTATAGATAAAGTGTTATCTAAATCTATACGTAGGCAACCATATTGGATATGTTGCTGGATTGACTCGCTATGAGAATAATATATGGGTTTGAGTTAAAGTGTTAATATTATTCTCATGCGACCATTAGTATAACTATCCTTTGACTTGAAGTCATTACATTCTTTGGTAAGTTGAGTTATATACTTTGAGGCATGATTTATGCCATCTGAAATATTGGTGGATGTACAGTTATGTTTTGGGTATGCAATGAAACTTAAGCGAAGATGTGAATGACGTAGACAGAATTTATCCCTTCTTTAATGAAGTATAATATCTTAGGGCCCACTGATTGATATGACTTGGGAAGTGCATGGCCATGCCCAAATAAATATGTTATTTGAATTCCACAAGCCAATCAAAGAATCAGTAAACCATCGATTTAACTTTAACAAGGTGACACACCCCATACCTTGTGCTAAATCAAGGCGTTAGTGATAAAGGGATAAGGGTTATACAAATAGGATGTGTCGTTGAAAGAATTGTTCCAAGAGCTTTAATCTATAGTTTGGGGGTGATAATGTGTTGCTAGATATCGCTTATCACTTGTAGTATTTAATCGATACTATGGCCAATTTTATAGATGCCTAGAATAGGGTCACACACATAGAACATATGAAAGTGTAGAATATTTAAGTGGAGTAATGTTGCACTTTATTTATATGTTGTGTATATTATATTGTGTGACAATGTGATTAGATACACAAACACGTATATAAATAAATATTTATATTTGGACATTTTAATTATGTGATAATTAAGTTTGTCAAATATATTTAATAATAATAAAGTATATATAT